AAGAGAAGCACCAGCTTGTAAGCTATTCCCATAATAAAACTTTGACTTTGACTTTGACGATCGATTTCATTCAGTCCTTCGTATAAAGTGGTTTACTCAGTATTCCAGCGAATGCTATCAATTTAGGAACGTTAAGGTGTTTTTTAAGGGGACAAGGGGTTCACAATCATTTGTTGGCAGGGTGTCCAAGTGTATCCAGTATTTCCGATATAAGAACCAATTTTATAGTTGATTTCACTTAGCATTTCCATATGCGATTAGTGAAATGAATAATATTGCAGAAACGTTTCCAAATAGTTTACATCTAACCACCTCATCTAAATCTCACTCGCCTATCGGAATCATTGTGCTGTTTTCTTTGAGTGAAACTGCACTCAGGAGCAAATTCACTTTTAGGGGTTGGTTGGCCAATCGGTTTCGCGATAACCATGTTGGATCTTTGATGTCAGAGTCCGGAGAATGCATCTATGTCTATTCCTAGAATACTATAGATTGCTTCTTATTTTCTTCGACTCTGAGACACCCTTGGTACCAATGCAACAACAATTAAAATGGGAGGAGAAAGCAGTGATTGTAAGTGAGGGTCAGACAAAGGGTAAACATTTACAAAGACAAACTTAATTCGATCCATCACCCTTAAATTAATCAAACGTCAATGTAGAGGCCTTCCAAATGATTGGGGTTGTCAAATTGTGAATTCCTATCACGGCATTCATGGATAAAGCTTTTAAGGTCAGCCAAAATCAAGTAACCAAAGTTGAGCACGGACGAGTCACTAGCTAGAAAAAAACAGTCCAATCCACCAAAAACTGGAAACAAAATCTGATCTAGACGTATTTTCAACGTCTGAAATGTCAAATTGTCACTTGGTTCAGAGCAATCCAAAAGATGATGCATCAGACACCGGGTAACTTTGCCTCCCCTCTCTCTGTGAGGACAAGTTGCCGGCCGGATACCGGTACTGACTAGTTACTGCTGCTCTTTTTTATGCATCTGAGTAAACAAAATGGCGATAAAGCATGATGTTAACGATTATCTTAAAATGTTATTTTGAATTACTGAAGGCATTGGCATACTGCAATTTATTCATTCATATAAATATAAATATATACATATATAATTATCACGGTCTGTATTGGACATGGTTTTGCTAACTCCTAAATCCTAAATCCTTCCACAGATTACGGGGTTCTCAGTCAATTTGGTCGTCAAAACTTACCAGGTATGTGTACTTCCGTATGATGGGACTGAAGTTGTGAATTTTTGTTCACAATATGATGCTTTCATTGCGCCTTCATTAGCCCGACGAAACTCCACGTTTAAGCGCCCCAGACTAGGCGGTGAACGTGTTTTTGACCAGGATCAAAGAATCCAAGTAGTATGAAACTCAATCTAGATACTGGAACTTTAGCATGTGTATGTGAATTCCTTATCCCGTTCTAAACATTGTTCTTTGTCACTGGAAGTCCAGACAGACTTGGTTACCAATCATCTGTTATAATACAAGGGAACTATTTTCACCCTGCGTTCGATGCAAAAACAACTGAGAAACTGACTTCCATTCTGTCTATTTTTAATTCATTCTAACTTTACGTGTCTTATGTTTTGCATCTAGACCAGAACGTAGTTTCCGTTCCTCCACAATAAAATCAGACCCGATAGCCAATGAAGTCCTATCGTTTAAAGGTTTTTTTCCAGAAAATGATTCAAATAACGAGCTTTCACGACTTTTTCCAGATCATGTACATGTTCTGCACAGCACATTCTAACCCCATGTAACCAGAATGATGTCTAAATGTTTTTTTCGAGCTATCTTGTGGTGGTAAACTGAAAAGGGCATTTTTCAGAAACCACTCTCATCGATGACTGATACTAATGCCGTTTTCGGACCTTTTCCTGATAATTGAACTATATGAAATTTGGCAGTTTATTGCGCTCACTTACCGCTTTCATTTCCAAATACTTCCTTTAAATCCATCGCAGGTTGCGATTTTATTTTTCGGAGCTCAGATTCCATTTACGGAAATTTTACTTCCCCAAATTATCCTGGCCTATATCCGGCAGACCTCACGTGCCATTATATGTTCATTGGAACTGCGGAACAAGTGATCGAGCTCAACTTCTTAGAGTTTGACGTGGACAGCAGTACAGTCACGTGAGTTTATTAAAGCTTCAAAGTGTGAATCTCGGTTCAAACATGACCTAAGGATATGGATGATTTCCCCGAACAGATCCGTTTTCAGGGAAAATGAGGCAGCTACTTGTGAGTAGCTAAACACTAAGGGTCGTCTATATGGTTTAGGGTGAGATTAAAATCGAGAATCGTTTCGACGGAACGTAAGGACAACAACCATTGCTTAGGTTCTTCAGAACGGTGCCTCATAAATTGCAATAAATGTTCTTTTTGAGGAATGACTGCTGTTAACCACTTCATATGCACATATTGCTCTAACTCTGTGTCAAGACCGGATTGGATAAGTATTAGTCAGTGTCTGTCATGAATAGCTGTCACGTGATTGGACGATCAATGGGAACTGATAGACGAATGCGTACGTAGCATCCCTCCGTCTCTTGGATAAGGTGGTACGTTGTTACCCCATAGCGATCAACTGGGTTAGGGATACGTTGGGATCTGCGCAGAGCGGGCTCTGTTGGTTGGATATTTGTAGCTTGTGAAGGCGGACTTGGAGAATTAGTCGGTTGCTCTGTTCTGAGTGGATTATCGTCGCTTTCAGAACTTTCAGTTACGCGAGTTCGAACATGGTCAGAGTGTCGGCAAACAATTCGTCAATCGCCGAGCTTCAGAGTAGTGGTGTTACCAGTAGATGAAACGATCGTAGCTGGATGCCATGTGGACTCATGTGGGAGTCTCGTATAAACCGGATCGGACTCATTATATAAGCGGTCTTCAGTTCGAGATGACTGTGCATTTAGCTTTTCCTGCTGTCTTTCTATTCTTGCTCTGGGGGAAGGGAAAAGTAGTTGTAACCTTGTTCGGAGGTTACGACCAAACATCAATTCAGCTGGGGATCGCCCGTTGGTTTCTGTAGGAGTTGTTCGGTAAGCAAAAAGTAGTCCGTCCAGTTTGGTCTGCAGGGTTCCTGCACTCTGTATAAGGATGCCTTGCTTAACCGTCTGCACTGCTCGCTCCGCCAAACCGTTCGGTACCGGGTGGTAAGGAGCTGATTGCATATGTTGTATTCCATTGCTGCGGAGAAACTTTTGAAACTCTTCACTGGTAAACGGTGTTTCATTGTCTGCGCAAATTGTTTCTGGGATTCCGAATGTTGCAAACGGAGAACGCATCTTAGAAACCGTAGCCTCTACCGTAGCGTGATTAACTGGATGAACTTCTATCCACTTCGAGTAAGCATCGACTACGACCAGGCACATCACTCCGTTTATAGGGCTAAAATAATCTGCATGTATCCTCTGCCACAGTTTATCTGGCCGACGCCACGGATGAATAGGACCTGGAGGGTTTTGACGTTGGTGCTTCTGACATGCATCCTCAATATCTTGATCAATCCGTGGCCACCAACAATATCCTCTTGCTAGGGCTTTCAT